AAGCACTGTGTCCATAGTTAGCAACACTGCTCATGTATTGCTCATGTCTCTTTGAAACCAAAAAGAGGTCATTCACCAGCTGTGCAACTAGTTTTAAAGCCTGAGCCGACTCAAAAATTAAAAAAAGAAATGGAAATGTGTTGAGGATATTGTGCACTCTCAGTCAAATGTCCGATTTTGTGGCGAGTTCACTGATCCACTTCTGCACCTGGAAAAAATGCCTCTCGTTTGTCTCTTTAACGGAGTAACAAAGTGACTTTAGCGGAATATTTATTACCGTGTGCCGAAGCTAATGGATTTACTTTTCACTCAGTTGCTGAAACTATTACAAAAATTGAGTGTTCAAATTTACTTGTATTTAACTGGCTCTACCCTTTGTCTTATTAGGTTTTTGGATGGCACACCTGAGCTGAAGAAGTGGACAGAACTCATGTTGCAGGACTCGGCTGTCAAAGCCCTCATGTTCAGCCCAGACGCCCACAAGGCCTTCTTCAAGACCTTCCTTGATGGAAACCCAGACTTTGACTACGGCCTGTAGGAAGTCATTAGTTAGAGTACTGAACAAAACCTTCAGCCATCATTTAATGTTACTGCATTAGTGACTATGACTGATTTTTCAATAAAAAATAAAAATACTGTCAATGAAATGACAGCAAATTTGTCTTTTCTATTTGTGCTTTAAGACACATAAAAACAATACATTGTTTCCCTTTTATGGTCTCATTTAATAACCTAGAGACACACACAGTAAAAATATAACAAGCAAAATTCAGAAAATAAGCTCTAACAAGCAATAAAAGATACATAAAGAATAACAATCCTTAATAGCTGCCATCGGATCTGCAACAGTAACAATGATACATAAAACACAGTTATACAAAGCAGACAGTGCACTGTTTTGTTAAAGATTCCTGTGTGGCTCCGTATAATATGAGAGGTATTTATGTTAAGATCTCCTGCTAAAATGTAGCATCCAGGAGCCGAGGGACACCAGTGTCACAGTGTGTGTATTGCTGGCATCTCCACTAAGATGTTGAGGTTTTTCCCTCAGCGTCTGATAGCAGTAAGCTGTATTCTCAAGAAAATGTTTAAAAAAAGCAGCTGCAATAAAACCAAGTCTACATATCAGCCTTCTATTTGTGACTACTTTACTTTGGTTGATACACTCTGCAACCACTAGGTGGAGCAGTGATGCTGCTGTTTTTAATGGTACTGAGTCGTGTTGGCACGTGTTTCTTCACGACTGTGCTGTTTTTTGTTTTTATTTCAATCTAAACATTTATTACAATAAGATTGTAAATAATATTTCTGGGTTTCTCCACTAAATTTTCCAGTTCCTCCTTTAGCATCGGTGTTAGCAGTAGACCATATTTTATTTAAAAAGGTTTTGTAAGTAGCAGCTACGGCAAAACCACTACAAATTTAGTTACCAGCAAGAGCTGAATCAGCTGATGCGCGTGCACCTTTTGTTAGTAACATTACTTATAGTATCACTGAACGATATGTCTGATATACGTGTCTAAAATAGTTCAGTTGCTGAGTGCCTATAAACTTTCATCCAGGCTGTGATGTAAACCTCCATTTGATAAGTACGGTGTATACTCCTGTATGAGCACAGGTGCATTTCTCAGCATCTCCTGAAAATGCCTGACTGTTGCTGCATAAAGCTCCCTCTGCAGCACCAGTGTCCTGAACAGGTTGATGGGCTCTGCTCTGCGAATCATCTCAGGAACCTGGACCTCTTCTGGCACTTTAGTGTTGCCAAACATGACATGGTTAAGTCTTTTCTCCTGCAGGCTCCTCTGCACAAAGCTGAGCAAGTCCTGGACCCTGTGCTGCATACTCTCAATGCTCCACGTGATGGTCTTTTTACTCAGCAACAAGTGCAACAGAGCAGTCTTTAAGTGATAGTTTGTAAGGGCACTTTTTCCAGTTAGCCCTGATTGCTTTTTGTGTAAGAAAGTAACAATCTGGAGGCAGTGTAAATGACAGGAATGTTTTGGTAGGCGTTTAGAAAAATGTTTCAGCAAATTCCTCTCGTAGACAGCAACAGATAGGGGCCAGTATGGGTCTGGGAAGCTGTCAACATCCGATGGAAAGTGCGAGACAAAATAAGCATCTGTATCCTCAAGCTGGACCACCGGAATGATGTTCATTACGATGATTTTTCCTGACGGGAATCGGATCTTCAGAGCACCGGCAGCATCCAGGCTGCGAAAGGTAACATCAAAGTCATATTTGTGAGAGATGCGTCCCCACGCTTTGGTTACAGAGATCTGAAACCACTTCATGACTTGGTCTTTCGCCAAGCAGTTTGTGTCTCTGGAGCACAGCAGTTCATCAGGACTGAGACTGACTTTGGGTGTGTCATTTCTGCCATGCAGCAGACAAAGCATGTCCTCTCCGAGGTTAGCAGAGCCACAGAGACAGCCCCCACTATTCTCCCCAGGTGTGGTCACCTTTATCTTCCCACAGCCCTGCATATCAGGAGTTATGTCACTGGAGGAGCTGCACCACAGGTGGTACTGAAAGGAGTGCGGATCTGGAGGTGAGAAAGGCACGATGAGGTCACATGTGAGCGGTTTGCAAAACTTCCAGGACTCAAACATGCTTCCAATGCCAACAAAGTCCCCGACTTCCATGTCTGTGTCCCTGTTGCACACGCTCCTGAGTGACTCGAGCAAGTCATCTGCAAAACCCTCGACAAACTCCCTCACCCTCCAGTTTTCATGTGCTGAAGTGTAGGTGCATTTATCACAGAAGTTACTCAGGATGTCCTTATCCAGTACCATCATCCTGGGGTTGATGGAACCACTCTCTGAAAAAACCTCTTCCTCCTCAACTTGCCGGACTTCTCCATCAGCCAGATCCACCCTGCACATCTCGATGGTGAAGAATATTATAAAAGACACCGTGCTCCAGAAGTACCAACTATAACCTTCCTGCAAGCTGGTCTCTTCCTGCTTTGAGTCCATCTGTGAAAGCTCTTTCTCCAACTTAGCCTTCTCCATTTCCAGTCTTGCCTCATGCTCCCGCATTCGAGCGATCAGCTCCTCATCCTGATCTGGGAGTGTGGTGTTTTCATGCGGAAAGAGCGAGGGATGGTTTAATATGGCAGCAGCCACCACCACGCACAGCCGTGCAATGGCCCCCTGCATCTTCAGCTCGTTTCTAACGTGCACATTCAAGCAGATCCTGAAATAGAAACATAAATACAGTCAGAGCAGATACAAATGGTTTAGGGCAGCGGTCCCCAACCTCCGGGCCTCGGACATTAATCGTTTGGTACTGGCCACGAGAGTTGAGGCTCAGGTGTGAAATGTATGGTTTTCAGGGTTTTTATCGGTTTTCAGCGTTATTTTGTTATCGTTTTTATCGTTAACTCGGTTTTCCTGGGTCTTTTCACGTGTGTTATGAATAAATCTTCTTTTTTTCGGTACCGGTACTAGTTTTATTTTGTTGTATTAAAGGCCGGTTCGTGAAAATATTGTCAGGCATAAACCGGTCCATGGCGCAAAAAAGGTTGGGGACCACTGCCCTAAACCAGTGGTCCCCAACCCCCGGGCCACGGACTGATACCGGTCCATGAATCGTTTGGTACCAGGCCACGAGAGTTGAGTCTCAAATGTGAAATTTGTGGTTTTCATCGTTATTTTGTTATTGTTTTTATCATTAACTCGGTTTCCCTGGGTCTTTTCCCGTGTATTACGAATAAATGTTCTTTTTTTGGTAGCTGTGCAGGTTTTATTTTGTTGTATTTATCCGTGACACCTTAAAGGCCGGACCGTGGCACAAAAAAGGTTGGGGACCACTGGTGTAGGGGTGATGTATAAAATCATGACATATTTGTATACAAAATCCAGTTATTTTTGATCAAGCTCTCCACCCACCAGGGGAAGCACAGACTGTACCTCTAAATATAGAAGAAGTGCGCTGAGTGACGCACTTGTCCAGTATCAGGCTTTGCAACACAGGAGGAAGGAAGACCGAGCCCATGAGAATAACTTTGCCCTCCTCCGATAAACATATTTAGTTACCACACATTGTGCCTGTTGACATTTATATCCTTTTATCGAAGATATAGCAAAACAATGCTGCTTTCTTAAAAGAAAGAAAATCCAAGTTTGTACGCTGCGCAATTCAGCATCAGTGTAAAACAATACAGAAAACAGTTTCCATTGACTTCATATCTACTTTCCTAGATTTCAACAAATAACCAACATGCAATATACAAGGAGAAAGAGGATATTACATAAATGTCTTTCTTAAGCTTCAAGTTTAAACCAGAATTTGCTCCTGTGTGATGCTTATACTCACTATTTAGTATTGTGTTACAGATGTTTAAAGGGTAGGAGATTAAGAAGCATCCGTGCTCGGCTGGCCGGACTGAAAAACGGAAACTGTCAACTCTGACATGAATAAAATCTTGTCATATAAGGTGCCAAAAATGAGGTTTCCTCTAGCACACAAGTGAAACAAGAACAGGGAAGTATGCATCGTGATCTCACCGTAACATCATGAGATGATGAACTGTTCTCTGCAAGACTCAAGATTTTAAAAAGACAGCGGTAATGAAGTATGTGAGGCCAAAGAGCCGGGGGAAACTTCCCATGACTTACTCACTGGGAAGATTTCCAAGACTTACATTAATGAGACCACCCAAACAAACACTGCGACAGCCAAGAGCCTCGAGACGTAGCTCTTCTCAATCATTTTGGAGTAGCGATTGCTACATAACAGAAACATAACTGGAGACTGACTCTTTTCAAGTATTTGCAACTGAGGGTTTACAGAAAGTCAGAGAAGAACAGACTGTCAGAGGTGGATCAAGTACCCATACTCCTCAATGAAACACCATCATGTGAAAATATCAAAGCAGTGTTGTGTTTTTTTCATCTTAGGAAGGGTAAAAGAAAGGTTTTAATTCCCTTTATTTCAGATTTCTAGTTCAAGTTCAAGTTGGTAAAAATGGCAAAGGGGCAGATTTCATAAACGATTAGATTTCACAAAGTACCTGCACTTAATATATAATTGCACTGATAATCAGTGCAGCTTCATAAAAATATTTCTCTGCCACGCATGCATTTAAGAAGAAATTCTACAGACATAGCTGAAGTTAGGCACCTTTATTAGTCATCCTGGCAACAGGAAGTTTGTCCCAGTTTATGTTTATGCTTAATTTATTTAAAAGGTCATGAGCAGTTATTTCCATCATGTAAAATCATGTGAAAGACAAATTCTTCATAGGACTCTATGCACTCCTATAAAAACTAAGTTCACCCTATGACTCAGTAGCTTGTAGAACCATCTTTTGCAGCACGTGATGTAATGACACTTGTGGGCATTTGTTTATGCATAGCTCTCTAAAGTTCCCACCATGGTGTTTTGATCAGGTTAAGGTTTTCTTTTTCAGCAATTCTGTTACAGATTTGCTCCTGTACTTGGGATCATTGTCCTATTGCACCTCCAAGTTTGGCTCGAGCTTGAGCTGTCAGACCGATGGCCTCAAATTTAATTTTAATACTTTGGTATACAGAGGAGTTCTGTGGCTGCCAAACAACCCAAATCATCACCACTTCACCACCGTGCTTGAAAGATTAGTATAAGGTTTTTGTGTTGATATGCTGTGTTTGGTTTTCTCACACTGTGGTGCTATACATTATATCCAAACAGCTCCACTTTGGTCTCATCTGTCCAAAGGATATTGTTCAAATGTAACTTTGCAAAGCCATACCGCCATATTCTTTTAAGAGAGACAAGGCTTTCTCCTGGAAACCCAGCTATAATTTTTCCGTTTTTATTTTAAACATTTAACATGCTAACTGAGGCCTCAATTTGCTGGGACGTCCACTGCTGGGCAGATTGTGACATTTTGTTAACACACTCCAGACCAGCAAACTGCCAAACCTGTGCTTTTATAGAGGTGGTGACACTTGACAGACTATCCACTAATAATGCCTATTTGAATAGCAGTACCTGGCTGCTACTTACCCTCCTAATTCCTGTGGAGGAGTAAGGGTGTAGTTTTTCAAAGGCATGACTTTATGCAAGGTTTAACCACGCAGGCTTCATTTTTTTTTAATCTGCAGTCTGTGGCAACTTAGAGGTTTTTATAAACAGCAGATGAAATGCCAAAGCATCTAAATATAGATACGAAACAGAAGCGTATAAATGATGAAGCAAAGACATAACCGTATATACATATGATTTGATTTGTTTTTTGCAAATATTCTGATTTAGGAGCAACATGAAATATCCTGCGTTCAAACGAAACCTACTTTAAAATGATTCATACGCACAGGAATGAATGAAAGATGTTTCCACCACTGTTGCTGCACCACCCTACATCCAATTATCTCCTGGTGTTTTTGGGGGGAAAATACTAAACAGCGACTCTCCCACGCTGACGTAGCTGCGTGCTGACACAGTGACGTGTTTAATAGCCCTACGAGCGGTCACCTCCTCTGTTGTCTTAGCAACAAAATAGAGAGGGACTAAAAAAGGGAAACAGACTAAAAAAACATTATTCCACACTCATCACTCACTTCACAGGCCGGTCGTTTACCACACGCTGCTCCGTTTCATCCTGCGTGGAGCTTCATAAAGCAACAAAGAGCAGCTTAAACGTGCCTCGCGTAATCTGGTAAAATAACTGCACGCTTAGCAGCCTGGAGCTCCTGTCGTCCCATCAACAAGTTTGGAGACGTGCGCGTAAAAGACGAATGCTATTGTAAAAAGTTAGCAGACCTACCCATGTGGTGTTTCTGGGTGAGTTCATGGTCATAAAGTTCATCTTTCGGGTCATCCGGTGAGAGCAGCCTCATACAAGTGGCGCGGGGACCGTTTCTCAGCTTCCTTCTGACATTTCCTCACTGCGCGCTCCACCCATGCATAGACAGAGGGACCGCCCTGCTTCCTCTCATCACCCAGAACAGCAGGGACTTTTATGAAATGTGACGAGCATAAATTACGTGCAACAATTCTTAATGTCATCCAGAATTTTAAATACATCTTAAATAAATTTTATATTTATATAAAATATTGCAATTTAAATCAACTTCACAACATTTAATCGTAGCCATGTTACATTGCAAGATACTGCTATATTGTGAAATTCAGCTCTAGTGTAAAGGAATCTGATTATTTTTTCCTATTTAGTGATTCTTCTGCTTTTGCTACAAAGTGTTATACAGTTGCAAATACTAAGTCCGTTATATTTAGTCTTAAAATGTGAAAGCGTGTGTTTGCAGTCATTGAGCACACTAAAAAGATCTATATATTTATATAATGGGCAATATAAAAAATAATAAATGAACTGCGCTTCATGTTCGTGGATACAAATCTCAGTCTACCTTGGAAACGGCACAAAAGTACACAGTAATAAGCCTATTAGTAGTAATCCTGTGGTACAGACGTGACCACTCCGAATCTGATAGGCAGTTGTTCACCGAAGCTGTGAAGTTCCAGTTCCAGTGAATGCAACATCTTTTTCCAAATGCAAGTGAAATCAGCATTGCATTACGTAACTGCAGCGAGTTCCTGGATTGGGCCACTAGTGGAAGTTGTGACGTGCCTCTGTGTAAATGTATACTTAGTAGCATCAAATGACATTTATAGTTACGATGTTTCTACATCGAGCTCATAATGGAAACAGACAAAAACTATTCTCACACACAGGCGCACAAGATCAATTATTACATTTTAAAGCAGATTTACTTTAAGTACTGATTAGATACCAAAATTGTCTCTCTCAGTTCTGTTTTTTATTATTTAAGTTTTCTCCCAGTAAAACCATTATTCCTTACAATTAGCATAGATTAAAGCTGTATATGACCTTTTTTTTCTTAAAGGAAAGTGCACCGAGCTTGTTGAAAGTTGTGGTCAGATGTCTACCTACATCATGGGATGAATCTTATAGTGGGGAGGGAAAACTCTTTTAACAGGAGGAAATCTCCAGCAGATCGAGTCTCATGGAGGGGAAGCCATCTGCCACTCACTGATTGGGTGTGAGGTGCAGTTATTTGGAAATGGCTCCATGAGATCTTCCCCACTTGTGTAAATCTTCAGTTCTCCTTAGATCTCCTCAGAGTTCCTTAGACTTCACCATTGCTCTTAGTATTGCTCTGTTGAATGAGCGCGGTCAAAGTCTGGAAGCTGTTTGACATGAAAAAGCAGGAAATGCTTTGTTTGTCATGTAATGATTCATCATCGTGCAATCTTTTCAGAAAACTCTCAGCGCAGTTACATTTTGCTTCATCAGCGACAGCAAACTCGTAGAGAAACACAGAGAGGCAAGTTCTCCTGGTTCTGGGGGACTGATTAAGAGATCATAGAGTTAATTTTTGTCCCAGTTTTATTTTCTCTTCATGTTTACCTCAGCTGCTGAGTGCCTTACATTTGTCAAGCTTTTCTCTGATGCAAAGTGGTCCTATGTGTTAAGATCCAACAGAGAAGTTACTGCAACTGGTTCTGACAGAAAGGCGTCAGAATACACAGCACATCACAGCTTGTTGCATTATGGTGCTGCATAGCCTTCAGTGCTGCACTGAGGAACTCTTCATAGGTCTTGTGCCCTCTGGTGGTAGTTCTCCAGATTGCAACATAACCCACTGGACAGATGACGCCAATAACAACACCAACCACAACAATTTTTTTGCAGTAACTGAAATACAAAGATACAACCATTCCATTTTATTATAAACAAAATACTGCAGTATATAAATTTTTTCCAGTAAATACCCGTGATAGGATGCTACCTGTGCAACATGTCCAGTTGTGAAATTTCCTTACTTCTAAATATTCCACAGTCAGCTGTTGGTGGTATTTTTACTCAGTTTTTGTATTAGTTATAGTCTCTAGTAATTATTATTTGTCACAGCTGGGAGTAATCAGGCTGGATGAGACAAGGGAAGCAAACTAGAAACACTGACATGAGACATGGACCTTCAAAGTAAAACAGGAAACACACTGACTGAACTCTAGACATGTAAACTTAACAGCAACTGTGGAGACAGAACATAGGAACCTGAAACATGGTACAGAAAGGCACAGTAGACACAACATGGAACACAGTGAAGCCGTATTACAAAACCTAAGAACTAAACCTATGATAACCATAACTGAAACCTAGGGAAATAACAAACATAGTACAACAAAGGACTCAAAACATAAACCATAATATAAAAACACAAGAACTCAAAAGATTTTTTTCCCCCAATAAAACTAAAAAACATGTTAGTTCGTTTTCCATGTTCACAAAATTATGTTTAGTACATTTTTCAAAAGCCTAGTTTTTATTTTTAGTTAACTTTTTTTTCATTTCCAGTTTTAGATTTTAGTTTGTTTTTGGTAAACAGCAATAGCCTTGGTCGAGAAGTCACTGGAGAGATTATATATCTCATGTGGGAACACAGTTCTTCTCAGGCAGGAAAAATTGGAAGTGCTGCACACCTGGAATTCCCTTCTTAGCCTGTTTACACCACAACCACACTGTTTATATTAACAGAAATTACTGGATGGATGGGTTTAATAATGTTAAAAAGCACGGAAGTGGTGATAGTTTTTAATATATTTCCTTTAAACAAAGATCTTGTTGTGCAAAACCGAGCCAAAGGGCCAATGAAAGAGGACATTTTTATTAGTTGTTTTTTTGTCAGTTGTTTTCTCTTTTGAAGTTTGAAAAATGTTTATTAGCATTAGATAACAGCTACGTAATAGACCTAAAAATAAGCCATGAAAAGCAAGGAAGGAACCAAAACCAAAACAAAGCTTTTACAAACTCCAGGTTCATCAAATATTATTGCATAATATAGAAGCTGTAGCAAGACATTCATCTGTCCCTTATGACACATGGATTTTTTAAAATGAGCATTATTATTATGATCATGAAATTAAAAACAACACTGAAAAATAAAAACAATCAAATTTAGATATATTGCAACTCGAAATCAGCTTTCACAACCTGAATGGAAAATCAAGAGGTAACTTTGCAAGATTGTTTCTTTAGAATTCAAAGTCCTTCAAGTTCATTGTGTATATATGTCAGCAGTTACTTGCAGGATTGTTTGATGGTGAACTATGTTTTAACAATATATCTCTGATCTGTGTCGCTTTTTTCTGTTGTTTCATATCCACAAGGTTTTCGATAAGTTTCTTTGAGGCCTGTTTGCCTTCCTTCTCCACCCACTTAAACAGCAGCTGTACGGTTCGCTCCTCAGCATCATTTCGATACTCCATTTCATAAGATTCAGTAGTAACCAAACTTATCCCAGTGCGGAGAGCTAGGGTTCTTGCATTTTTCCATCTAAGCTCCCTTGCAATATCAGGCAGGTGAGGAACAATGTCAACATCTGAAAATAATGTAAAAAGAAAAAATATTAAAAGATGGGTATTAAGACCACAACGCACAATATTATAATTGACTGAGCAGGCAATATGCAATGTTTTTTGATTAATGGATGAAAATGGTAAAGTCATGATCAGAAAGAAAAGAGGGTAATACACTTTTGTTCCAAAGAAATTAAAAGTTTACAGAAAATTAACCACATGAAAAATGCAAAAGCATGATATGCACAATAACTTGTTCTAAAATCTGATTCTGACTGGTTAGTTCAAAAGACAGAGAATAATTAAAGCTCTTATATTGGCTTGAATAAAGTCATGTTTGTTACCTGAAAGACGACGGATGAGCTTCTGTGAAGCAGAAACAAAATAAAAGTTTCAATTCTTTTCAGTTTTGTTTGCGATGAAGTAACAAACTGCTCATGTCCATGTGTGTGTGTGTGTGTGTGTGTGTGTGTGTGTGTGTGTGTGTGTGTGTGT